TAATAAGATTACCACTGTGGAGGCCTTTAAATAAGGAAACTCTTCGAGCAGCATGGAACCTGTCAAACACGAAACAAATAAGAACTGCAGACACGATTGCATGACTTGATCACATGCTCTTATGTTACTGAACGAATGAGTTGTTGCGTGTCATTTAAGAGAATTTCTAGGTGTTTCTCCTCCCACAGTCTCAGCTTGAAATTAAATAGTTGTCATACTTTAGCTTGGCATTCGTCCAGGATATTTTTCTTGCTCAAGGCTAGCTGTGGTGGAAACCGAGAACTTCGTGAGTGAACGAAAACAAGCAGGTGTAACCAGAATACTTTCAGTCTCAGGAGGGTAAACCCCAGAAACCCGGGTGAGAGAGATATTGTAAATCAATGTCTGCTGCTCTTAAGTTTCAGTACAGCCACTGAAATTATCTCATCTCTCAGGCATCCAATCTCAGGTTTCTAGGTGTATGAGAAATATTGGCATAGCAGCAGCACGCCCCTCTTATTTCACCTTCCCCTGGGAGAGTGTCGGAAGTCAATAAGGGGAAAGTAAGAGGCGACAGAAATAGAGGAGGGAAGAAACAGGAAGGTGAATCAGACAGGCATGTGAGGAGCATTAGCAGATTACTGTATGGAGCATGATGGGACATGAGCAGTTGCAAGCCGTGCCAGATCCCAGTGTTTTTCACCCTGTGGGACAGAAGATTATTGAATATGACACCTTTTCATGCTGCAAAGTGGAGTATAGGGAAAGGATTTTCAAAGCAGTGTACAAGGCGTGTTGAAAAATACTCTGATTTAAAGTCATTACTTTTGTAATACTTGTTCTATGATCCAACATCTTTTCTCGCAAGCCAAGACAGACAGTATAGGTAAACCTCTGTACTGTGAGGTGATCCGGGAGGATCACATTTCAAGAAGCCACCGTCCTAAATTATTTTTAAAAGTTTAAAATCATACTGATTCAGACTTTGGCAGACCAGTAATCTGCCAAATGTGAGGATGAAAAAAACGTGATGACTGACAGTAATAGGATTAGGACTAATGAAGATCAAGAGAGGAATCAGTAAGGGACCTTAAGTGATCCATGTCACCTGGAAATGGCACAGCAAGGAGCTGGGTGTCGCACAGTGGGAGACAGACTGAAACACAGTAGCATAATTCCCTTTAAGGAGAGCTGTGATTAAAAGATCATCTTCTCACACAATGAACTGAATGTTAAAGAGCTTCAAGGTTTAATGCATTGGGCAGACATTGAACTGTTTACTCCATCAGATTTTTTGTAGAAATCAAAGTCGAATCTATTAACAGCTATAACGAAATTGCTAAATGCTGATCATGCAGGTTACAAAGCTGGCAGCTCACATCAGAGGAAATGCTCTGGGTCTGGAGCATATTGGCTTAAAGACAGGAAGTGCGTCTCTATCAGTCCAAAGCAAAACAATCTCAACAGACAAAGGGTTGCAACTATTGAGCAGGCAATGGATCTAAGCCCCGAGGCGTCAAAGTCCATTCCAGGACATGATTCACTAACCTCTGTCTCGGTTTTCTTCCAGGTAGACGGTTTCTTCACTTTGCTCTTTGGCCTTGCGAGTATCAACACATTGACCGTTATCAGCGTCACCAGATACATCAAGGGATGTCACCCAAACAAAGGTGACATCTATACTCCCTGAATTTAACTGAGAGAACATAAAGAAAGCTTCAGATCAGCGTAAAACCTTATTACCGACTTCAGCTGTGGAAATTACTACCACTTGTCTCCAGCAATTTCATTTACATCTCACCAACATGTCATTAAGTTAGCTTGAGGTGACATTTTCTATTTCTGGGTGTAAGTGATGCTAAAGAATGTCTTAATTATATGGAAATTACGTTGAGCAGCTGCCTCTTTTGTCAGCATGGCATAAGAGTTTTCACTGTGTTTGTGGATGATCATAAAATGTGTGGGGTGTTTTTTTTACATTGGTGGTTAAACTATGAACATTGGTGGTACATGTGGGATGTCATCAAATGTATTCCGTGCCAGAGTGTAGCTGCAACTACTGCAAACAGCAACAGATAGTGATGTAAATCAGAAGAATAAAAAAATGCTACATGATTTTAGGTCCAATTGAAAATAATTTAGGCCAGGTAAACTTGCAGGAATCCAAGCAACAACACAATGTAATTCAGCATAACAAAGCTGAGTATCCCACAAAAAAACCAAACCAATCCTCTGTCACAAACTGTAATGCACCTCTTGTGGTATATTGACATAAGATATGTGAGCGCTGCTCAGAAATTGATTTTCTTTCTTGCACAAAGCTTTGCATACTTGGTCAACAGACGTTCTTTTCAGTCACAGATGTTTGCAAAGGCTGTTAATATAAGAAAAGAACTCATTGTTCAATAAATGTCACAGACATTCATAACAAGTCAAGAATGCTGCATCTTTAAGTGCCTCTCACTTTTTCTGCCCTGCGTTTGCCAAAGTCATAACATTTAACCTTCTCAAACTGCAAACAATCACAATGTCTGTTCCATAACCTGGGAATATTATGTTGTGTGTTTCTGCAGCTTATTGTATCAGCCTTAACACCATTGCTGTATCGCTCATCTGCATTTGGACCGGAGCACTGTTTTGGTCTGTTGCTCCGCTGCTGGGCTGGGGCAGCTACACCGGTCTGTTCTCACACGCTAACCTAACAGAAGTAAGGAGTATACAACTTCATTTTTGAAAACATGGATCTGACCTCTGTGTCTTCTGTTTCTTAGATCGAGGTTATGGCACCTGTGAGGTGGACTGGTCCAAAGCCAATTACTCCACCATCCACAAGTCCTACATAATCTCCATCCTCATCTTCTGCTTTTTCATCCCTGTGATGATCATGCTCTTCTCCTACGTCTCCATTATCAACACAGTGAAAAACACCAATGCCATGTCAGCTGATGGTTTCCTCACCACCCGTCAAAGGAAGGTGGAGAGAGATGTCACAAGGGTAGGACAAACATAGTTTGTTTCTGAGGTTTTTTTATTGGAGAGACTTGATTGGGAAATTAAAATGAGACACTTTAAAGATCTACTTTAAAGTGCTCCGTCTGTAATAATCCTCCTCTCACGGTAGTCCAATTGTTCCCTCGTGTTCCTCTCCAGATTTCCATTGTAATCTGCACAGCTTTCATCATGGCCTGGTCCCCATATGCAGTGGTGTCTATGTGGTCAGCCTGGGGCTTCCAGGTGCCAAGCACAACCAGCATCATCACCCGTCTCTTCGCCAAGTCTGCCAGCTTCTACAACCCGCTCATCTACTTCGGCATGAGCTCCAAGTTTCGCAAGGACGTCTTTGTGCTGCTGCCGTGCACACGAGAGCGCAAGGAGGTGGTGCATCTGCAACACTATAAAATCATCAAACCCAAGGCTGAGGCCCCGCCCCCACCTGCATTACTTCCTGTCCAGCAGCTGGAGGCGAAATACGCAGCGTCCAATCCTGACAGCGACTCAGGGGTAAACAGCCCTCCTCAGACTCCTCCAACTGACCCACAGGGGGTCTCCCACACTGACCTGCCCTCACAGATTGAAACATCAGAGTACTGGTGTGACAGGCTCTGAGGACCAATGCTTGATTAGTATTTTTTGGTCTTACCCGTGTTAATAAACTGTATTTGTAGCCAATGTTATTAAATTATTTTCTGAATCTTATTTCACACTTGTTGAAACAAGAGTTTTCATCTCCAGCTCTTTTTTTTTGGCGCTCATTCAATTCATTCAATCCATATTGGTAACAGTGACATAAAGTGTGGAGCAACGTATAACTGCTTTACCTGAATCTTCTCTGAATATCTCCAGCTGATGGGATGTGCAGTCATTAGTGAGACAGATGTAAGATAACATCTGGAAACACTGAACTGCCCTGAGCTCAACTGAAGCATGAGATGGCACAAAATTCTACAATTCCTTCAAATGCCATCAGATCTCCCATGTATATTCATCGTTCCCTGATAAATGCCAGACTTTACTTTGTCCACCGGCCTACAATTGTGTCATTTTACATCTCCATTCTCTGAAGCATCCTGTCTGTTGATCCATACATCTTAAAGCTCTACTGTTCCATGGGTGTGGTGGATGTATTTCTGCAGACAAGCTCTCTAACTCATGGCACTGTTGAAAGAGAAATGAGTCACCCTGAAACAACACCTGATCTGTTTTTTTTCTAGCAACATCAAGGCAATTATTTACTTGAGCCATGAAGGCTTAATCTTTAAAAAAAGAAAGAAAAGAAAAGTTCCTGAGGGGGGTTCTGATTTTCTGCAAATACCATAATCACACGCACGATGAGCTCTTGTACAGCAGACCTAAAACCTTTAAATCGAAATGGTAATCGGTTTCAACATAAACATCCACATAGTGTATAATAGCAGCAGCTTGTGTGCCAATCTGCATTGACTAACAGTGTGTGTGTGTGTGTGTGTGTGTGTGTGTGTGTGTGTCTGTCTGTGTGTGGGGGGTTGGGGGGCTGTGGGGGTGCACATTTACTGTAGACCACAGCAGCAGACAAAAGTCACAAACCCTAAAGTGACAGTGGATGTGACTTGAAGCGTCTGTTTCTCAAACAGGTGTTTATTGGTCTACTTGGTGGAGGAGGAGAGATTACTCTGGTGAGAGTTTACACACTGCTCTTAGTTGATTTAATTCTCAGTCAGATGATGGGATGAGTGAGTTGCAGTACATAGAACCAGAATAATTGCTCGGTTTTCTACCCTTAACATAACAGACAACATGCAGCTTAAAGTGCCAACAGAAAGCAAATCCTTTGCGTGGGCATGCTGCAACTATGAATACATGTGTTGGCTTCTATTGTATATTAAAAAAAAAGACATGTCAAGCAAACAAAAGGATGCTTGCACTGCCATGTTGCTGAGCGCCAGGTCTTCCTGACATCCTGACATCCTCTCCTGTTGGCCCCGGGTTACTGATCTTGTTCTGCCTGGTGAAGAGCTGGGTGCCTGAAGTGGGACGGGCAAAGAGGGGGAAACTCTGGCCCCGTCCCGTTCTCCACGTTTAATGAGCGCTCCGATCATGCAGGAGTAAAAGTCCAGGTGGAACAGTTCAGCGCCTGCACACACGCCCGCTGGTTCAACGTTGCTTTTCAATGAAAGAGTGAGGATTTCGGGGGGAAACTGCGCAGGGAATTACTTTATTTTAACGTCTGGAGGATTATTCTTCTCAGGTAAGTTTACCTTCATCGCTTTACGATGATGAGGATTTTGAAAAGACAGCTACAATTCAAATCCACATATGGACTGTGTTTGCTGCTGCGTGGCGTGAATTAATTACCAACGTTTTTTAAATGGTGCGTAATTGCGACTCATTAATATAAATCGCAAGCACATTTGAGTACTTTTGATCATCAGGTATGTAAGACATTTGAACAAACACAACGCAAGGTTTTGGCGTTTTTTCATTTTTTATTAACTTTTTGGTTTTGCAATTTTTGACAGGCTGTCCAAATAAGCGAATCGCTGCTAACATTCAGTGTTTGTTTTCGGCAACTTTCTGTTTATTTTTTCTAATGTTTCCCGTTTTTCTAACACCCCCTTCCTCTTTCCTAAAGTTAGGTTTTTAGCTGAATGAATTCATGATCATTCATACTGTAGCCTACAGCCTCTCAGTGCTGATTATAAAATATGATCTTTGGGAAGCGATCCAGCTTTTATATTTCTATCCTGCTAGCCCAAGCCTTTATTTTGAAATGACTCATTTTGCCTGTGTAATACTCAGCAAACTGGAGAGGGGAATTCTTCAGCTTTTATTTTTATTTCATGCACAATATGTTTGACAATTCTTTATTTATTCTTCCTAACATTCTGTATGGTCTGATGGAGCCTGATTAAGCACAGGTGGTCTCTATACAACATGTCCAGCAGCAGACGACAGGTTCTGACTTGCAGTCAAGCTGGTGCCAAGAATTAAAGTAATTCAGCCTGTTCTGTGCTGGATAAACAAACACTGTCCCAGCAGCCCCGACCCAAAAAGGTACCTTGGCTTTCCGCTGTGTCTGATATCTTCTATGATTCTTTCGTGTGCTTGTTGCTACAACACATGGCACATCAAATATGCTTACAGTACATTTTTGACACCTGTGAATGCTGGGATTTAACACTCCCTGGCACTGGGTGAGTGTAAATACTCGCTCACTGCAGGCGTGCCATCACTCAGGGACACTGTGAAACCAACTTCTACAGGTCATGAATCTTGATACTCAAATAAGCCTCAGTCCCCTCCTGTGCTTACCCTTGTTGCATTTACACTGGCCACCCCGGACAAGGAATGTAGGTGCCGCTGAAATGGAGGAGGATCAAAATACAGTCCTTGTGTTTTGGCGTGACGGTGTATGGCCCTAAAGTTCACCATTACTGATGAAAAAGCTGGAAATAATCAAATTAATTTCAGTGAGTTATCAGTGCTTATCAACAACGGCCTTCGAACACTTCTAAGTGTGTCACAGGTGTGTGTGGTGGTCCCTGCTTGGAGAACCCATTGTATGCTGTCCTTTGAAACAGGCACAGACAGCTACTGTACATCATGTTTGCCTTTTAGCCACCGTATACCTGTGACACTCCTGCCAGGTGTGATTTTCACCCTGTATTATCAGATTTGTAGTTGTTACGCATCAGAAATCAGCAGAAATCTGCCCTGCAGGAGCTGAAAATGTTCATATCACTTCAACAGCATTCCAGCAGACTTTACACAACACTGCTTGGCCTTGTAATCTTAGTAAGTTGTTTTGTGTATGTAATCCACAGTTGAGGGAATGCTATTCCGAATTGAACTGCGCATTAATTCCTCAAACTATTTGACCAGTCTGAGCTGCCGGGTTTGAAAGGGACTGAGGCCTCTGCATATAGATGCTTTCATCTTTTGAAGTGGCTGTGCAAATCCCTGTGCTTGTTTTTTTACACATTTTTCATGGTTAACAGTTTGTTTGATTTGTGTCCCCACCCAGCAGAAATTAGATGCAGGAGATGCTCATTTTGGTGAACGTTAAAGCATTCTGGCACTGCAAAGGCCAGCTGAAGCTGTGCTTTAGGTACCACACATGCCTTATCTAAAGTTTAACACATGTGTATGCAAGATATACAACACCCACATTGTTTTTGTTTGTTGTGGTGGTGAGTCTCTGTTTGCTTTATCCTTTAGTTAAATGTGTGTGTGTGAGTGTGTGTGTGGGTGTGTGTCTGCTAGTACCCTCGGGATCTATTATCTTCTGTACAGGAAACTCCCTACAGTGTTTGTCAAAGGATATCATTTGATCCACGTTTCACTGCTTGGAGAAGGAGGCAGTTAGAGGCGCACACTTAGAACAGAAATTAAGAGGCCTGAAATTATTGTCATTTTTTGCTCATTTCATTTGGTCCTGCAATGATGTCACACCTTCCTTAAATGACACTTCAGAGGAACAAAGTCACCGAGCGAAGGTTTCTTTACATCGGGGAACATGGTGTTTAGATTTCCTCGCAGGTGTATGACAGATCAGTTTTGTAGTTTGCATTATCCAGTAAAGCACGCTGACTCACCTCTCATATGCTGCAGGTCGGTCTCCTGTACTGTAGATGTATCTGTCCCAGCTTGTTCCCAGCCTCAGCTTTCTTACCCTGCGAGAACAAATTGTAGTCCTGACTGTGCAGCAGTGATCCATCTGCCTGTCAGAGCACAACACTGTGGAAAAATCATGTCAGTGCTCATGAATGTCAGATAAATATGTAGAGCTGCATTAGGGAAAGTCCTATCTCTGCCAACTGCAGCTATATTAATTTCACCTTAACACGATATGTTGGATTGTGGTGTGTATTCACTCACAAAATGCCATCATTAGATGATAAATCATACACTTCAGTACACAACAAGCACCTCATGCACACTTTATGTATAGTAGAAGCTGCAATAGAGAACTGTGCATGGAAATAACTGATAGAGGTAACTGCAACAATTCATGTTATTACACCGCACACTTGTGTTCACCAGCCTGGCAGGACTGTGATGCTTTATACCATTGTGATGAAGATCCAGCACGGGATGCGGTTTCACTCTTACGATACAGTATGATACATTTCTTAGGTTTCAAAGGAATGGTTCAATATTTTGTGAAATGCACTTATTCACTTTCTTGAAGAGAGTAAGATGAAAATATAAAAAAATTATAAAAAAAATATTATTGTTAGCTTAAAGTCTAGATACAAGGGCAAACATAACCTGGCTGTATCCAAAAGTTTTTAAAAAATCGGCCCACCATCACTTTTTAAAGCTGGTCTAAAAATGTTTTTTTAATCCGTACAAAAACCAAAATGTGTAAAAACAACAAGTTGTGGTTTTAAGCGAGGTTATGTGCCAGACCATTTCTTGGCATAGGCACAGTGAATTCCTGGGGTTCTGTGGTCACCTCCAGGTTGCGAGGCGACCTGCGTAGACTGCACTACAGTAAGTCACTGCACCCGGCCAAGTGATAGTGCTTGATTGAATGAACATGACCTCCCTTAAAACCACTACATGCTGTTTTACACTTCGGTTTCTGTGTGAATTAAAAAAAGAAAATATGAAGTGTTAATTAGTGAGCTTTAGAGGAGCAGATTTTGTTATCGAGCCAGACTAGCTGTTTCCCAGTTTCCAGTCTTGCTAAACTAAGCTAACAAGTTGCTTGCTCTAGCTTCATATTTCACACAAAATTTGATTAGGAGAAATTTGAATTTTTCACTGCCCCATCTGTGCTCTATTGACTGATTGACTAATTTTATTAGATGATAAATATAGTATGTATGTACTCCAGCAGTTACAATCATTAGAGCATAAAAATGCAATAATGCCTATCACTCATTGACATTTCTTTGTATAAAACCTAAAAAAAAGTTTTGCTCTATTCACACATTCACACCTGACAACGCACTGGAGCAGTTGAAGGTAACACGCCTTGCTCAGGGGCACCAGTAGTTGTGTTAAGGTCGGGACTCTTCACACCCAGATTTATCCTCCTCGACAGTAGCCAGATCAGATTGACAGTTTCCATATAACTTAAAACCCGCCCAATTTAATAAAAAACAGCCCAAATCATAAATCTGCCGGAAACCCGCGTAAAACCGTAAAACTATTACATGCCCAATAGAAAACACATCATAAGCATGCAAAGCTATATACCTGCGTCAAATAACCAGAGAGAAAATGTTAGATGAATAAGCTGCAACCCACAAAGAGTGTAAGTAGATCCTCCGTTATCCCTCATGACGACTGAATGCAATCAAAATATGTCTCAAATTAAATGAGTCAATACTATGAGTGAGTGGACACAACAAAGTTCAAAACCCTGCCAAATATTAACAAAAGCAGCCCAAATTTCATCTACTAGCCCAATGCTACGTAATCAACGTAATCAACGTAATCATAAACCCAATCTGGCAACACTTCCTGGGGTCAACTGGGGATCTTCTAATCACAGATTGGAAAATAAACAGGAGTATTTCTACATTGCATTTTCAATGGTAGCCTAATACTTCATATTGCTAACATGCACAGTCTGAACTGCATCACATCTGACCCTGCCTCAGAGGTCGCTGTATGATCACATGTTCCCACTTGATCAGATTGAACCTGCTGGAGTGTGGCGGCAGTGACAGACGTGATGCCGCCCTCGTGGGAAGTGCAGCATTCCTCTGTTAACTGGGAGGCCTCATTCATCACCTCCATCCCAGCGCCTCGGCACAGAGCAGGGCCTGGGGTTGCTCTCATATTTAGTTCATCTTCCAGCCAGTGTAAGACTTCCTCTGGCTGTCTGTCTTAATTCAGACGTTGCTGTTGTAGCGTTATCATTACTACAGCAAACCTGCAGTGTCTGACCCACTTGTGTTCTAGTTAACACAGGCTACCCTTTGAATTAATAACTTTTGAATCGCAATGACAGACACGAAGATACATTTTCTCTGTCTACTGTCAACAGCCTGTGTTTCAAAATGGGATCCAGCTTGATGTGGTTGTTGGTGTCAAACAAAAGAGCCATCTGATTGAACACAGGTCCCCATTAACAGACACATTAAACTGTGTCTGTGTGTGCTCTCTAATTGAGTCTGACTCCATAGATAGAGGGAGGGCTCTTACGTACCGTTTTGTTTCAGCCCAGATGTTCGCTGTGGAGCTTCTTTTTGGCAAATAGTTTCAGCCATTTGTAACCCAAATAATTGGAAGAAGAAAGGGTGCGCTACGCTGACATGCAATCCATTGATTTGACTGATCTCAAAAGTAGGTGCGACAACATAAGTTCTAATAAATGTTGTCTAAATGTTTACTTGGCCACGTTTGGTTTTGTGGATGCTGGAGGAGTCATTCAGCTCCGTGTTACAATTCACATTCTGTCTGCTATTTATCCAAAGATCTCTGGACAGTGTATCCTAGAGGCACCAGTTTACTCTGTCTTGTTTACAGCTGACACTACACTCTCAGAACTGTTGAATAAAGTGACCAAAGTTATGTTCAGCGAGTAAGCAGGAAGCAGGAAATGGGTTTCAGAGGATGACAGTGAAATATTGCTGCTTCTCTTCTCTCTAAGGTTGGGAGATTAGACAAGGACATCTGACTGACCTGCTGAACCGACACACCACCCATCATGATCAGAGCATCACTCACGGCCATTTGTCTCGGTGAGCAACCCGTCTGTCTGTCTGCAGGAGTACGCTGGTTTTGAATATGTCATCCTACACTACAACGTTTCGTATTTTCCCAGATACTCCCTGAGAGTCAGATTTCTGTACATTCACACAGCATCAAACAGCAGCATCCTCAGTCACAGAGGTTTTGTGTGTACAGTAAACACACTGATGATTACGCTAATTTGTCTGCTATTATGTGAAACTCCCTCTGCCTCACCCGCAGCGCTGCTCCTGTCCTGTGCTTGCTGGGCCAAGCCTAACGGATCAAAGAACAAGAAACCAAAGCAAGGTAGACATCATTACAAGCAAGCCTTTAATCTCCATCAGTCCCGGTGTTATTGTCTCCACTGCAGTCTCTTTTAATTCACTTATTCCAAAAATATAGACTTTCTAAATCACTTCATTATGTTAAAGCTTTCAAGATTCATTTATTAGCTAGAAACAGAACAAAAAATAGACCTTATGATGGAGAAGATGCACTTCCTGAATAAGTTTTCATTTTTGCTTGAGAAATAAATAATTCTTTGATTATCAAAATAGTTGCAGATAATTTTCCTGCCAATTGATTCAACAATTAATTGACTAATTGTTCCAGCTCTAACTAAACTGCTATCGAAACATCAGCTATATGTAATATCAGCATCTACACAACAATCCTGACCTGTCTAATATTTTGTCTTCCACCATCCCACTCTACTTCTTCTTCTCTCCACAGTTATTCCAGCCATAGAGTGTGATGTCAGAGCAGGAAAGATCAATCTCCCAGAGTTCATAGCCAAATGTCCCGCACACTGTAAGGAGACAAAGCAGCAAGTCTATGGGACAGGCGTGTTCGCCTCCATCTCCAGCATCTGCAACGCAGCCATCCACAGGTTAACAGCGTAGTGATGAATGTCAAATAAAGGCTTTACGGCAGTCAAAGTAGCCTTTTGATATATATATATATAATATCCGAGAAAACATTTTGTGTCCACAGTGGCGTCCTCACCAACACAGGAGGAAAGGTGATAGTTAGGAAGATGGCGGGGCAGAACATCTACAAAGGCAGTAATTCCAATGGAGTGCGCTCTCTGTCTCTACCCAAGTGGAGGGAGTCGTTCGTCATCTCAGGTATTAATAATGAAGTAAACCATGTTAAACACAGTTATTTAGAGACAGCCCTCCAACCAACAGCTGGATCTGCTGTTTCAGTGGGGAAGCCCAAGAGAGGAGTGATCTACCCATCTACTCTGGACTACGTCCCCTCAAGACCAACCTATGTGAAAACGAGTGAGAGGACGGTTATTTATACACTCACATCATGCATCTTTCACGTTAATATGAATTTTTCAGCATTACATTTAGTTAGGACAATCTGATTAGGATCCAGTAAGCAATGAACAAAAAATATGTAGAAATTTTGGTTCAAACAGAGAAATGTGGTTGAAACATGAAATGTTTTAAATGTTTTTATCAACAGCATTTCACTTTTCAGACAGTTTTTGCTCAGTTTTAACCCAGACATGTGGTACACCTTCTGAGGACAAAAGGTTACTACGTACACAAATGTCCCTGCGCATGAGTCTGGCATGTTGAACTGCGCTCAGGATGAATGGGGAGTCGTAGTGCTGCAGTCTGGTGAAGAATGTCAAGAATGCATTACAACGCAGAGGTTACTGTAGACGCTCTTCCTCCCTGTCCATCCATCTTGTACACGACCGCCTTAATCAGTCTCCTTTCAGGTCAAAAGGAGGCCATATCCCCCGCGGTCACCACAGCGCTGCCTACGACTACAGCACCTGAACCCACCACAACTACTACACCTGAGCCCACCACCACCACCACCACCACACTGGCTCCAACCACTACCACCACCACCACCACAACTACTACCAAGCCTCGTGCTGCTGTCCATAAAGTTAGGGATGCAGGTGATACAAACCGATACAAACACACACTTAAATCGTTTTTTGCATACATATGTACAAAAAGCTAATTCTCTTCTGGATCCGTGTATGCGGATTGTGTATTTAATTGGATGCAGGATGCTGTTAATGATCCAATAATACCGATCCACACAGAAAGATCCGCCGCAGCCAGTGTGCCGCCTAGCTGACATCTAACTAACATTAGCAGCTTGTAGCTAGAAATGCTGTTCGCCAGAACAAGCTTTCATTTGTGTGACACGGAGTGACGAAGATGAATGATTGTAGCTGGTAATTACAAGTCACAACTGCAAATTATGACAAATTACAGCTGGTCTGTGATGAAGTTTGCACGGTGCCGCTCAGTTGCTTGACTGACTTCACTGTACACTTGATCACCAGACCTTTCATCGCTCTTATTAAATGAAAACATTATCAGACAGTAATCACTGCGAGTCATCGGCCCTGTTTTGGATGGAAATGCAGCTACAGTGAGTAGACAATGCTGCAATATCTTAAGGTATGTGTGTGAATGAGATGGGCGGCGTGCCAGACAACCTCCCGACCATCTTTCTCTTTCATTTTCTGTAACATTATCTCTCTCCTCTCCATATTGGCACCCCATTTGTCTTTCTTCTATCCAGGCAGCAGTCACCCATACCTTGCCTCAAGTAAGTGAAACAAAGCAAAGAGGGGTTGTGGGGGTGGCATGAGGGTACGGGGGGTGTTGCTTTGCACTGGGATGTGTGCTGGAATAAATGTCTACATCAAGCATGGGGTGTTTGCGGTACAGTAGTCCTTTGGGAAAAGTGTGCATTAAAATGAATGGTGTATTCTGTATTCAAGGTTTTGATGTTAGTTTAACGGCACAACTTGTGTATCTAATAATGGAAATCAGTTCAGTTCACTTGTTTTAAGCCAAAAAACGTAAAACAGTAAAACCATGACCTGGGTGATTGGTTTATACTTAATCCAAAACCAAAATGTTGTATTTACATTAAAATGCGTTTGTCTAAATTTGCCCACACTCATACTGGGATAGGACAGTCACAGAATGAGCAAGGAAAGAGACCCAGCCAAGGTATGTCAATACTTTTACTGATTCTGCTGCTCTTGGAAAGTCTCTCACAGCCCATATCACAAAACTAAACCATGACATTTCTTCAAAGTATTCAGAGGAAGTGCCTATCCAAATAGATTCCCACAACGTGCCAGTGCAGGTAAACCAAGCTTTAAACTTCCTCATGACTTTTTTTTTCATTCTACCTTAACCATAAAACCATCTCAACATTTGCTCTTTGCTCTGTCTTCCTTTTGTACCGATACATGTAAACTCTGCATGGCATCTCTGTTCGGTACATGCACTGCTGCTTTAAAAGGCTTTTACTAGTTTTCTAACACAGTGCCGGACCAGATTGTTCTATTGAAGCGGAACATCTGTTCTGTTGTCTTTCAAGGTCAATTTTTAACCCAGGTGTTTTTAGTGTGCTCCATGTTTACTGTCAGTGCACATACAAAGGACGAGTGTCGTTACATGTTGCCTCGTAATGAATACGTTTGTCTCCACATCTTGGGCCCAGGTCTGCGCAGACCGGAGGCAGGGTCGGCTATCAGGAGACAACCATCCTCTCCAGTTGCCCCAGGTCAGCCTCATCATTAACACACACAGAAACAGAGTAACAAACAGGTGGGACTGACAGGGAATGTGGGTCAAGGGCTTTCAGGGGGGGGGGGGGGGGACAGATGACTTTGTTGGAACAAGAACCCCGAAAACGAAGACTGCTGTAAGTCTGACCCTCGTATCCAAACCCATAAGCTCCTGTGATCTTCACCCCAGGGTCACCACTAATCCACTCCATCAAGCCTCTCATCTAACATTCCTTTCACGATAACCACTGTTCTCTGTCATCGGGCACATCCTCTTGTTCCTGTTTTCATTTGCTAAGATGAAAAGGGAAATGAAGCTGAGTTAAGGCCTGTAAATACGCCCAGCATATCTCCTTTTGTTTTTGATATCATGCTGCGGAGACAATGCCTTCAAGTTCACTCAAAGCGAAACAGCTGGGCTACATTTGTGGATGGAGCCCCCGAACTGAAACTCTCCCCCCCCCCCCTCTCCTTTTCCGTTCTTCTTCTTCTATCTGCCTGTTTCTTATTGCTACAAACAGCTTTTAACAGGGTTCAGCCGGCTTCACCCGAGAGGACTCCAACCATGAGTCAGTCAAACCCCGGTAAGTATCTCCAGACCTTAAGCGGGATATCCCAAACTGTCCGAGCAGTTCTCGACACTGACGTAGAGAAGTAGACAGGTCTGATCAAACAGGAACCCCGGGTGTTCACTAATGTTTACCCTCTGTCAGATGCTTTGGTTCAACGCGTGGTCACTTTACAGAAATACAATTACATATTTCCACTAAACCCCACATGAAAAATTGAGCAGAGAGTATATCAGTACGCCTCAGAGATGAGCGATGATGTGATATCATCATCCTGAATTCATCTTGCACCCCATCTCCACTATTCTGAGTCACCAGCAAACTCTCGACTCTCTCTTTGAGATAAGACCACGATGAGAAAGGCGCTCCGTCGGTGCTGTAATAACATCTTATCACAGATCCCATCTGGGCTGGCCTCTTCCCCTCCCTTGTAAAAGCTTGCAGAGAGGGAGAGAGAGATCAAAGCAGCAGCACCAAGTGGCGCGGTGCTGCTCCCAGCGAGACGTGCATGACCCGATCCACAGCGCTGCAGGATCTGGGCCCAATCTCCAGCCTGTCAAGAATAGAAAGCTCTCGACATTCAACCCAGACTCGGTTTGGCTCGCTGAAGAATACGCTTCTGTTTTTGCTTCTGTGGAATGCAAAACCATATATCCCTAAAATTAGACAGGGCTGTATCCATTTAAATAACGGTTGATTGTATGATAGGATTTCTATTATGCAGTGTAAGCTGTTTCAAGCTAGTGCATCGTTTATCTGGAGAACCTGTTTCTGCTGAGCATATTTAAAGTATCTGGTCAGTGCAGAGAACAGCTATTCAGATCGGCAGCTTGTGGATAATAATGTGAGACTTTATAGGACCCCTTAGGGAAATTCTTCAAGCTTAAGGTCAGAGGTCAGAGGTGAGGATCAGCTACACAGCAGCGCCACTGGAGCCGGCAGGGATTCAATTTCTTTTTCGGCGATACTCCAGCAGGGTCTATGCTTGCCGGCTTTGGAGTTTATGAGTTGAAGGGTTTTCTCCCCAGTTGCTTTGCCACCCGGCTACCCCGAACAGATGTTCACATTTACTGCTCAGCTTTCTGGAAATGTTATGACCCTGTTGAGCTTTACATTTGTAATGAGATATGCCCACATGACAATCACAAAGATTCATAAAAATAAACTCTGTAACACATGTTGAGATTCTTTTCGTTGGCGTGAAAATGTTTTATGGCTTTCAGAGAAATTGCATATTACCAACTCTCCTGCAAACATATTGCAGACTGAGCAGCAACCCAAGGTGAGGATCAGTGTCCCCGATCCCGGTCTGATCAGGAGAGTTAAACTCAATCCTTTTAAAGCACCAGTTTCATCAGAAAAAATAACACCACTGTCTGCTGTATAGCGCTGGGCCTTGGACCAGCAGCAGATTAGGCTAATCTCTGGGTCCTACTATCTACACTGTCCCTAGTTTGACACCAACTTTAGAATAATACTCTCACGCTTCGCTGAGCCGCTGGCTGGTCTCTCCCAGCCCGACCCGGTCAACAAAGGCCCTGCTCTCTTGCTGCCACTGGATGGGAATCTCAGAGCCCAGGCTGTGTGTTTGTGTAAGCTACCAATCCACCACAGGGAGGGGTTAACTGAAGTGTGTTGTCATGGCTCAGTCAGTTTAGACAGATGCCATGCACTGTTACGGTTTTGCTCAGCTGTTTGGACTTCTGGTGTTCAATCACATTTCGATTAACTTCAGGCCACGCAAGAGTCTGGCCAATTAAATAGCCTGGTGTGTTTGCCACGTTTCAAGTTTAAACTTTGAGTCTGTGTCAACAAACTGTGTTGCCAAGAGCAGCAGGGAGAAAACAGAAAAATTGGAAAACTTATTTTCCCTGAGAGGTGGGTTTCCTCTGTCTCTCTACCCTCAAAGAGAGTGAGGCTAAACTTCACTAAAACAACCTTTAGTCAGCTCAGTCACTGTCTGACTGACTACTGTATGTTTAGTGTCAGACTAGAGGCTGAACATCTTGTGCATACCCCACTAATAACGTGGCAGGTTTAGTGGAGGTCACAAGTATGCTCCTCGTCTATGCGTGTCCTGAACACAGCTTTCTAATCTTCCCCTGCACAGCTTTTCCCAGAAGGGATTGGGCACCTCCCTCCTTACCTCGTCCTGATTGGTTCCCAGAAGCTCGACAACCAGCAGGTACACCAACCACAAAATAAGATCATTCTTCTTTAACAATTTATATGCTTATTCTAATACAAATTTAAATGCAGCTGGTGTACAAGGCTCCAGATTAAACTTTTTCATCACCCTCATCAACTGTTATTTTCTTATTTTCTAACAAATTTGTATTGATTAAAAAAAATCTTACCATTAGTAGTTTTAAATTATGCATTACAAGCTGCCTAAAGCTAGTGTGAGTATGTTCAGGTCATAAAAACTACATTTTACAAGTTTACATTGGAACACATCATGATAACGTTATGATTCAACTTTTTCCAATACTCTGTTTTACTAAGTAAAGCTTGAACGCACCATAAAGTCACTGAAACCTCCGTACGATAACTGTTAGTTCAGGCGCTGCCAACGTTAGTAGCTCTTCTCTTCCCATTTCAACACAGATTTCTTGTTCACAAAGTAACATTATCATGGATTAACGGTGGAAGGGGGGGGGTTCATAATCACGGATCTGTTAGCGACACTCAACTATCATGTTTACCATCTTAGTTAACTATTTTTAACATTTGTTAATTAGCACTAAAGACAAAGTCCAGCAGAGGCCTATGGGTGCATCATTAGTCATAAGTCAGCATTAAATACCTTACATGTAACTCTTGTAACTGCTGATGCCTCCACCTTTTCTGCTGTACGTTCAGATGTTAGTTATGCAGCTCCAGACTCAGGATACACGTGGAGTGAGACGGACACACCTGAGATTACAGGTAAATCACGGTCTAAGGCAGCACCGCACCACAGTTTGGTGTGTGCTGCCCCCCCCTTCATAGCGGCAGGTTACTACACCTTGCGTCCATTTGTGTTGCATGTGCAAACATAGCATGCCCGTGTCACTGACAGAGTGAGGTATCTGCTGACCATGTATGTTTTGACTTGGCTCCATCTGGGAGTACATGCAATGTCTCTCCGGACGTTGTCTTTACATGCCATCTGCCTGCCAAGTGAGAGAGTCCTGTGAAGTGCAGAGGAGAAGAGCATTATATTATTATTGTGTGCATGTGAGTGAGAGAGAGAGAGAGAGAGAGAGAGAGAGAGAGAGAGAGAGAGAGAGAGAGAGAGAGAGAGACACTGTGAGTGATAATTCTGCACAAAGCCGTTGTTTTCACTGGTATGGGATTGGTTGTGTGACCAATCACAACCATGGAAATGTGTGGTTTTCCCTCTGAGGTTCATTGTGGGAATACTAACAGGTGTCACAACATCCTCCTCTAGCTCGGGATCACAGGCCTGATATCTCAGAATATGAGCGCTGGTTTTATAACTTTGGACCGTACCGTAAGTGCTTTTTATATTCTTTTTACTGGGAACTAACAAGTCTTTGGGTTCAGGTTTTTATATATTGTCATATGTACAGATTGCAATTTTGTGGATGCCAAACCTGTTTGAGTGTTTTCTCTCAGTGACACACCTTCCCGGACCCGACCACACTCTCATATTCCCATTTTATGTTCTAACACAGGACTAGTTTAGTTTCCATCTTGTTTCATTTAGTGTTTAAATGGCCCGTGTCGATGTCATTCTGACTCGTCTAACTCTCGGCAAGAAATTGAATACACGTATTTATGTTGAACTATTCCATTAAGTGGAATTTGTTTTTTGTCACAGTCTTAACATTAGATTAGAATATGGCCCTTTGACAAAACACACAAAAGAGCATGCAAAAAAAAACACTCTTTCAGAAGACCGTCCATGGTTCCATCTGTTTGATGACACAGCCGCAAAAATACCATGGAGCTGATGGGAGCACGCTGTAACACCATGACGTGTTTACATTTGATTCACATGTGTCACAGTCTCACTGACAATGTCTTCACTTTTAGTTCCTCGCTCCACTGACTCAGATGGCCACCGTAAAGTGCCATTGGATACAACCCAAACTAGAGGTGAGCAGTGATTACCATGGTTTGTATCCAGGAAAGCATCAGCATCAGACACATCAAATAGCATCTACAAAGCAATCCTACTCCTTTCTGTCATTCGCTCTGCTATTCAGTGAGTTGTAAGGTTTTCCTAACTGCTGCGGCTTTAGCCTTCTGATGAGTAGAACTTACAAAAAGGATGACAAAGAAATCGACCTTTCGATGTAGCCACCATTAGTTCTTACGTGCTGCTTTGTGATAGAAATGTGCTAATGCTGAGCTTGTATGATATCATCTATGCAGTGGAGCCAGTGGACGCTTGGAAGCCAGACACAAATCCTTATGAATCAGGTAAGACCGCTTGCACTACTCCTCTCTGTGCACCAAAAGAGTCACTTTGCCACTAAGTTCTCAGTTCAGACTGTAAGTAACCAAACCGAGGCCATCCAAGGGAAAAAAACATCTGGGTTTCTGCTGAGCCTGTAATTGAAGGGATTCGGAGTCAAATGGCACGGTGGTTGCTTGAGGATAAAATCAGTTCCTTTTTGGCATACTTATTGCCACAACAGATACAAGCAAACATTTGGGATCTCTAGAAAGTGGATGGCTGGGAATGTGTCATGCGGCTCAATGTTAGAGCGGGTCGTTAGTCAATCAGAGGATTGACGGTTCAATCCCCAGCTCCGCTAGTTCATGTCGATGTGTCCTTGGGCAAGACACCTAACCCCAAATTGTGTGTGTGCGTGTGATTGATTAGATTGTCCTGATGGCATAATTCATATCAGTGTATGAATGGGTAAATGAGTGAATGAGTGAAGGACATGTAGTGTAAAAGTGCTTTGAGTTATCGAAAGACAAAGCGCTGTACAAGTCCATTCACCATTACCATTCATGTTCAATGGACATTTAACCAAACAAACTGAGACAACTTCGACTGACCCTTTCTCTTACGATTTCTCTTGTGATTACAAGGGATTGGACTTCAATAATTTTGAGAATGCATATGTCAATGATTATTAAAGGTCCAGTGAAATGTGGGAAAAGTATTCTTTACAGTATAAAGCCTGAAAAGCAGATTTTAGCAGAAAAGCAGACTTGTGTGTTTCTTCATTTTCAGGCTTCAACGTGAGGGAGCAGGAACCTGCACCCAGAGCACCTGAGCTTGTGTCATCACAAGGAGACCCAAGTATGTCCTTCACACTTTTTAAAAGCCACTATTCACAAAAAATGTTTGTTTATTGCATCTTTGGATTTTGACAATCCTGGTGAAAATTGGGGCAGAGCATTTGTTTCATAGTCGTGGCGTCAAATTCTGTGGCGCGCATTAAACGCACCCTGTAGAATGTTTTGCTCAACAAACACAGATTTGTTTACATTCAGTGTTTCTCACCAAAACCTATGTATCCTTGAGACCCAACAAATGTGTTTAATGATTTTGTTCTTCATAAAACACTTACAAAGACAATTTGCATTAAATACATTGTTTTCGTACATGTTTGCTAGCTAGCAATTGTCTTCTTCCCTGCCTTTGCTAGCTCAATGCTATGTTCCAACAACGATTGTCAATCAGTGAAAGAGCATGAACCACCCATGTCATGCAGCAGTCATAGCATGACTGCTGCATGTTCTAACAAATGTCATGCATTGAACCTGTAATAACTGTATTACCAAACACATGATTTTGCAGATTGTATGGTGGACCTGGCCTTCCTGATGGACGGGAGCTGGAGCATTGGGAAGAGGCGCTTTAAGATCCAGAAGGACTTCCTGTCTGAGGTGGCTCAGGTTATCAGCGTGGGTGTGGCTGGACCCATGATGGGCGTCATCCAATACGGGTAACCGCACTGCTCCTGTCGTGTTACTGTGAACCAGTTATGAGATAAGGAAACATAATGTGATTACTCGTTGTTTTTGTCTGAAGGGATGACGCTGTGACAGAGATCAGTCTGAGGTCTTACTCCAACTCCAGAGAGGTGAAGTCAGCCATAGAAAAGATTGGGCAGAAGGGAGGCCTCTCCAATGTAGGTGAGTGACCCGCTATTAGCTGCCAGATACAGTAAATGCCACCAAATGCAAGTGTGAAAGTGAAAGAGGTGCAATTATCACATGGTCTACTACCCAGGCACATTTTCACATGCAGGGATAGAATTAAATCTAAATTTGCCGCGAGACACTGTGAGCTAAATTATAGTCCTGCGTCTGTGAGCCTTGTTTTCCTTCTGCGCTGACCAAAAAGCATTTGGTTTTACCAGCCCGTGGGGGTCAGCTCTCAGAGTGCTGTTTTTCTGCTTTGGTTGGTGTGTCAGCATGATGCATCCACTGCCACATGTGTCTTTATAAACTTGCTAAATTTTGCATCCACGTACAAATAGTGTTGTTTGCGTTTTTGCCCAGAAGTGCTCTTTAATCATACGAGAGTGAGAGGTTGAGGTCTCCGACAGGGCCTCTCCTGCTCTGGTGTAGACCACCAACGAGACAAGGACGGACTAAATGATAGGATATCACTATTTTTGTGATGATGTACATTTAAAGCACATGTGTATATTTGTACACTACAATGTAAAGTGTTTATGCTGCATACAGTATTTTTTTTAGGAAGGTTGCTTCTACGCATATTATTTAGGAATAGCTTCGAAAAAACTCAGTCCACTGAATGTACATAATGAGCACTTTCAAAACATGTACATACGTGTATATATATATATATTGTCCTTTTGTTTCATTTTATACTCTACAGTCCATGTGTATTTTTATTCATTGGTTGCGTAAGAACTTTGCGAACAACAGATTGGTTCTTCTCTCTCATCTAGTCTCATCCTGAATGCATTCCTACATTTCAACCACAGGCTTGTACAGAGAGTGGCTGTAGCATAATGTTAACAGTCTTCCTGCTGCCCCCTGGTGCACTGACAGGAAAGGCCCTCTCTTACATCAACAAGCACTACTTCAGTGACGCCAATGGAAACCGAGGCGCAGCTCCCAACGTCGCCGTGGTGCTGGTGGACGGCTGGCCCACTGACAAGGTGGAGGAGGCCTCTCGGCTCGCTCGCGAGTCTGGCATCAACATATTCTTCGTCACCATCGAGGGCCCTGATGACAACGAGAAACAAAACCTGGTTGAGACCAACTTTGTTGACAAGGTGGAGTACTGTCACAGAGGCGTGTCAATGCTTTGATTAAACATGCCGGTTTTGAAACAAAGTTTGCCCTTCACCCCACAGGCTGTGTGTCGGACCAACGGCTTCTTCTCCCTGCCCGTGACCAGCTGGTTTGCTCTGAGGAAGGCCGTGCAGCCCCTGGTGAAGAGAGTGTGCGACACAGACCGCCTGATGTGCAGCAAAACCTGCCTCAACGCCGCCGACATCGCCTTCGTCATCGACGGCTCCAGCAGCGTGGGAACCGGAAACTTCCGCACGGTGCTGCAGTTTGTGGCCAACATCACGCGGGAGTTCGAGATCTCTGACACCGACACGAGGGTAGGAGCTGTGCAGTACACCTACGAGCAGAGGCTGGAGTTGGGCTTCGGCCAGTACAACAACAAGGCCGAGCTGCTGAACGCCATCAAACGCATCAACTACTGGAGCGGCGGGACGAGCACTGGTGCCGCCATCACCTACGCTGCGGAGCAGCTGTTCAGCAAGTCCAAACCCAACAAACGCAAGATCATGATTGTCATTACAGATGGGCGCTCCTATGATGATGTCAGGGTTCCTGCACTGGCTGTCCACCGTCAAGGTTAGAGGTCAAGACTTTAGAGACTTTAGGGAGATAAGGTTCAGTCAAGCAGTGATTATTTCCTTGTATTTATAAAACATTTTTACCTCACTAAATAAAATAATGAACGCATGATAATAATCTAAAACTAGACTTTTAAATACTTAAGCGGAAACAGGCTTTGAACCAGAATCAACAACATAACTATACAAAACGTGCTTTCCTCCGCTGCGTGTCACTCCGTCCACAGTGAGGTTGTGTGTTTGAGGTAAAACAACACATGTGAAGTCTGTCTGTGTAATCTGCTGTCCCTCCTTGTGATCTAGGTGTGATCGCCTACTCCATCGGCATTGCCTGGGCAGCCCAGGATGAGCTGGAGTACATCGCCACAGACCCTGACAAGGAGCACTCCTTCTTCGTGGACGAGTTCGACAACCTCTACAAATTTGTGCCCAAGATCATCAGCAACATCTGCCAGGAGTTCAACTCCCAGCCCAGGAACTGAGGCCAGACGGGTGGAGGGGAGGGGAGATCCTGGGCCGTCTTAACAGAACACTGTTTGTAAATTGACTCACTCTGTTGCCCAGATGGCGGCGCTGGATTGGCTGCAGCGTCCCATATTTGAACAGGGAGGGGTTTTGAATTTAGGTGAGGATAGTGGGTTCTTAAAGTGAATCCGCATACGGTGCTAACGGTAAAGGGTTTGCAGTCACAGTGACGTATTGACGTCTCACGTTTACTGTGGTGCCTGTTCTCTGTTGGTGCCATGAAGAGAACAGATTATTACTAATCATTTAATAAGTCATCCTTTAATTAAGGTTTATAAGTTGTAAATAAGGGTTTTTATTTATGTTAGGGTTGTGAAATATCCCCCGACATGAAACTTTTTTAGCTTTTTATTTCCCTTTTTAGTTGACCCCTGACCTTCTGTAAAAGAGCTGAACATCTGGACCAAAGTTTTTAGCAACTTTGAATTGTTTACTAACTGACTATTTGATGACCTCTGCTAACTATACAAACATGTAGAAGCAGGCGGCATGGTGGAGGAGCCAAAGGGAGTTTTGGCAACCCAAAAGTAAAAGCACTCAAATACATCTTACAGAACCTTTACAAAGGATGCCTTATTATGAAGTGGTTCACACTAACAAACATTAAGCTACCTTACTGGGATATGGTGCTTGCAATTGTAGATTTAAAGCATGCCTAGCACTTCCTCTTCTGGCTTAACATACTTCATAAACTTAATAATATGGTGCTTTTTATACAATTCTCTGTAAAGAGGATACACTTTCTTAGAATTGGTGCATATTAATCTTCCTAATAGGAGAGATGTGATAGTAGGGACATTGCTAAAGTTCCTCTCAACGACTATGGTGCTGATGTTGCTGTTGGTATGAGCGGTAGCTGAAATAAGGATTATGTGAAAGGTCAAATCAACAACACGGAACAAAGGATTGGACTTGTGTGAGGAAAGAGGAGCTTGTATATCTTTGTAAAGAGTGAAAGCAGTTCATCGCATCACTCTGGTGTTTTTTAACAGTGTGGTTGCTTCTAACGTTGCAGGCATTTCTCAGTTTTGATGAAAGAGTATTTATGATTTTCTTCCCGTCATATCCTGTTTGTACATATGCATATTAAAAGCCTTTCGCTTATAATGTTCATAATTGATCCCATTTTTTTTGTTTGTTGCAATTTTTAATAAAATAAATAAAATAAAGAGAACTTAACGATGTCTCCTCCTGAATGTTTTGATGATCCAAAAATCACTCTCCTTCCCGGATTCTTAACTCAGTCGATTCTGGACACACAGACATGATAAAGATGTGTTTAGATTCAACTTGCACTTTCCATGGATATCATTATATCTTATTTAAAATAATTATACATTTAAAAATCATCACGATTTAAGTTTTCTTAAGTATCAAAGTAATCCAGTGACAGTTGTGTGTTCATCCTTATGTACACTGCAAGCAGAAATAGCTAATAGCTAATTTGGCATAAATGTAATAGTGCCAATTTGTTTAAGTGTAAACAAATATAGGATAAAAAAAAAAACAAGGATCAAGCTGTAGCTTTTAGCGTAACATACTCAAGAGAACCACTGATCTGCACCGACGACCACATTTAGTTTGTCAAATGACAACATCAGAGCCCAGTTAACATTTTACAGCAGGTTTTATTTTGAACATACTTTTCATATACAAACCAGTGACTGAGAAAATGGCTCATTTGAAGCTGTACTCGACACGTACGACATCGTGATTGACTTGTTTTGCCCCCCGGATCGTTTCGTCCTCACAGTTCACAGTAAACTGTTATTTGCCCGGACATTTGTCTCGTCTGTGGAGGATGGTTAACTCAGTATTTCAAAGTAGTCCCACAGTACAGAACTACTTTCCTGCTAAACACTGGACTACTGTATATATCTGGACATGATACATCACATTGTAGTCGCGCATGTCCGCACAATTGGGGAAAACTACATACAGTACAAGCCATTCAATTCACACAGGAGCAAACTGGCCCAAATCAATTAGTTCATCCTAAAAAGGAACCAAGTTTGAATTGTAATTATATAACCAAGATGGTTTACTTTGGACACGTATGCTTGTAATCTTATTTCTAAAGTGTACAGTTACTTGAATTGAACAAACAGGCATTATACTTAATGGTCTGTATCACTCTACCAGCTTTGCAGTGAAACGAACACAATTGATTCCCCAACCACACTTATCAAAAAGGAGCACTCAAACTCACGCTGCACAGTAAATTTTAAGACTGAATATATATTTTGTTTATTATAAGCATTTGTAATTTTACATCCAATGTTAAAATCAACAACATTGTGACAATCAGCTCCACTTGTCCACTCCCTCCCTGTTCCCCCAAAAACAAGCTCGTTAAAATAACATTTTCAAGACCTTTTTTTAAAGCAAAGGCACATTTGTCAATACGTGTTTTAAAAAGGAAAATAAAGGCAGGCCAGCAAGCAAGAGTCAGTCTTGGAAGCAGAGAAGAAGAAGTGAGAGGCTTCCACGACAGCTCCAGCGAGCCTTCAGGCCCCACATTCCTGGAACGACAAAACACAAAAACCTGACTTGGAGTAAAGGGTCCGGACCTGGTTTGTCTGAGCGGGAAGGTCGAGGGCCAGAGGGATTTGGGATGAGCGTGAAGTCACAGGGGCAGAAGACCGGCTTGAAACCTCATTTCTCCACTCCACACTAACACTTGTCCTGAGCCTCCTAGCTACGGAGGTTGAGTTTAAGTCTGTCCGGGGGTGAGGGTGGGGGGGGGGGGGGGGGGTTCAAGCCGGTCTTCTGCCCCTGTGACTTCACGCTCATCCCAAATCC